GCCAGGTACTTATCCTGGTCTCCCATGGGGTGCAGGGCCCAAGGATTTGGGCCATCCTCCACTGCACTTCCTGGCCACAGCAGAGAGCTGTGCCTGGAAGAGGGGCAACCAGGACAGAATCTGGCCCCCCGCCCGGGACTAGAACCCGGTGTGCCAGTGCCACTAGGTGGAGGATTAGCCTATTGAGCCACGGCGCCGGCCGACCTTCTGCGTTTTTCTCCGTGACTCCAGGCTGAGGTGCAGGGAGCCTGGGAGGGCCTGGGAAGGGGGCTGCCTCCAGGGCCCCCCCGGGGTGGGGAGGAGCTTTCACTGACACACGGCGGCCTCGGGGGACTCTCCATCTCGATGGCCTCCTGTCCTTTCCTCCCATTGCACACATCATGACTCTGTTGTTGTGTGTGTGTGTTTAGTGTCCTTTCCTTAACAAGCTGTCCGATTCCCAGAGGGAGGGCTTGTCTCCCGTAAGGACCTCAGCGGGGCTTGGGCACCGTGGGTCGCTCTGGGAAACTGACTCACGGACTCTGGTTTCACTGATTCACTCTTTCAATCATTCCTCAATTCATTTGTTCCCTTATTCACTCCAGAAACATGTGCTATTGGCACTGGCTTTTCCCGATTGAGTCCTCCACTTACTGGGGTGGCTTTTTTTTTTCTGGTGGGGTGGTGGGGGGCAGCTGGGAGGGGAACATGACGGCAGAATTCTGGGAATGCATCCACGGCTTGGGAGAGCTCCTGGGAAGGAGGGAAGATTCCAGAGGGCCAGGAGTTCTGAGCAGGAGGTGCTGAAGGAACACCAGCAGAGGGCGGTGGCTCTGTCCCCAGGCTCGCCGGGACCTTTTGGCTGCCGGGTCTGTTCTGCGTGGAAGGCCTCTCTGGTCCCCCACATGCTGAAACCCGACCCTTCTTGGCAGGCCAGCCCAGATGTCCTCGCTGTCTGCCATCTCCCCTCACTCCTCCAGCAGGAAGGGCTGCTCTCTGCTTGCAAACAAACTCCCCGTGCACGAACTCTGGACCTCCCTCGTGGTGTGGGCCACTTCCTGCTCGGGCCATAGTGTGCCCCTCTCTGCAGCTCCTAGGCAGGGGCTCAGCCAATTGCTCCCACATAGGCACAGGGCTCCGCGTCCAGGGCCCAAGCCACTGTGTCCGACAAATGAACAGTGCTCTGACTTGAGTGGGGGCAGTGTGTGGACAGCAACGGTGGCCCTGTTTCATGGGTGGGGAAAGGAGGCACTGGCAAGTGACTCACCCATGGGAAGGGGTCGCAGGGCCCCGACTTTCTGGTCCCAGAGGCCATTCCTTCCAGACAGCTTGGTGGGAGGTGGGGGTAGGGCGGGGTGGAGCTGGTTCTCAGGACCCAGCAGGCCAGAGAGACTTGGAGTTCAGATGGCCAAGTTCAGGGAAAGCACAGCTGGGGCGGAGCCAAGGTATTTATTATGCTTGGTTTCCAGCTCCAAACAGAGCTGATGGATGGAGCTGCTCCAGTTCCTATAAACAGCTCAGGCCCTGCCCCTCCAGCCCGCCCTGTTTCCAGTGAGATAGGGGATGGGGGCAGGGAGGAGATGACCAAGGGAGGAAAGGAAGGGAAGGGTGGGGGGAGGACAAAGATGAGCGAAGGCCCTAGAGGTGCGGGGAGACTTGGCGGGGGAGGTGGTCAGAGTGGGTTCTTTTTTTGCCTCCCTTGGGGCCACTGCTTCCCCCCATGCCCCTGCGCTCTGTGTCTGTGGATCTGTCAGGGACGCCTCAGCACCCCATTCCCTGGCTGAGGGCGGGTCTGGGAGTCGTGGAGGACAAGGGCCCGTGGCCATCTGTGTTGGCTCACAGGCCCCAGGGACACACAGAGGCTCTGGCTGGGAGCCCCCTCCAGGAGCCCTTGGCCTGGTGGCAGTGTGTGCAGCTGGAAGAGGGAAATCCAGGCAGTCAGCCCCGAGGAGGTGATGTGGGCCGAGGCTGGAGGAGGAGGCGCTGCAGGTGGTCTGAGTGGGGGTGGGGGGGCGGGGGCGGGAGGCAGTGCTGGCTCTGGAGTGGGACAGACCTGGGTTCAAGCCACAGCTCTGGAATGAGTTTCTCTGAAATGAGGCTGGGAACAAGGAAAATCTCTTCCAAGCATGTCAGAATTAACGATCGCAGCGCCCACCGCGTGCTCGGACACGATCAGCTTGGAGCACGCGGGGAGAGGCTCCGGGCCGTGGAGCTCGCGGGGCCGGCACAGAGAGGGGGCGGCAGCCGTGGCCGTGCGCCCCAGTAGCACCCTGGCTGACTGTGACTGGGGCCCAGGGGAGCCTCCCTGTTCCCTGGAACTTGCTCAGAGCTCGGGCAGCCGGATGCTCCGATGACCTAGTTGGCAGCTGTGTCCTCATTTGGCTGAAAACAGGAATTTCTGCCTGGCTGGGGGTCTTGGCCAGGTGAGCAAACTCCCCTGTTTGCCAGGAAAGGGGGTCAGGGCCCTGGAGGGCTCCGGGCTGGAGCAGAGGCTTCAGAGCCTGGGCCGAGCTCAGCCTGTGCAACTGCCTCGCCCCTCGGCCCTCAAGGACCCCACCCCGAGGAACGGGCATTTCACATTGTCCTTGGAGAGCGTAAGCCCTGAGCCCTGAGCAGAATGTGAGAGGTCAAGGTCAGAGAAGCAGGTGGGAGGAATCTCGGGCAGGCAGAGCTGCCCACACCAGGGCCAGCAGGTGCGGGAGAGGTGGGCTGGGGCAAGGGCGGGCACCTGCAGTGGCGGCAGAGTGCGCTCTGGGCTGCTGAGAAGAGGAAGTGCACCCATAGGACAAGGGTATGTGTGGGCTGCAGAACAGCCGTGGGGAGGCCGAGCCGGTGGCTGGGCCTAGGGTCTCTCGCCGCCTCTCACTGCTCACTTTTCCCCCCCCCTTCTCACCCCAGGTGAGGCAGCTCCGACCCCTCCCACAGACCCCTGCCTCTTACCCTTCAGCTCCACCCAGGAGCCAGGAGTGCTCTTCCGCCACGTGCAGCTGGGCCTGCAGCCCCGCTGCCCACATTCTGCCGCCCCAGTAGGCCCTTAGCCCTCGGGCTTGGGGTTGGACACTCGGGAGGCGTGCAGTGGGCACCACAGCAGTACCACGCAGTGATGGCGTGCGCGTGGGGCCACAGAGACCCAGGCCCCCCCTCGGAGACCTCGGCGGGGCAGTGTGGCTGGGGTGAGGCCAGGAGGGCAGGGGCACTGCCAGGGGCTTCTGACTGTGACCGGCAGAGGGAAGGGGGTACAGCTTAGGATCCTCCCACGATTTTGTAGGTGGGCAGGACTTGAGTCTGACTGGTGGCTGAGAGGAAGACGTGACCAGAGAGGGAGCGAATGAGAGAGGAGGGATGAGGCGGGGAGGGGACAGTGCCTCTGGGCAGGGGTGAGAGAGATGGGCATGGAGAAGGAGAGGGCAGCAGCAGGTGGGCATGGGCAGGGCTGGGATGAGGGTGGGAGTGGGGGTGGGGGACAGCAGGGTGGCGGGGCGGTGATGGTGGCTGAAGCCCCAAAGGTCCAGAGCCTCAGAGCCCTCAGGATTTGCCACCAGGCTGGAAAGACCGCAGGGGAAGTTGAGGCAAGCAGGCCCCCGGACGCTGCGATGCTGGCTCTCCGTGCACGGGGGATTGGCAAGCTGCAGTTTCTGCAAAATTACTTTTTAATATATTCACGTGCGTGTGATACAAAGAGCTGGTTCCCAGGCTGCGCTGGGGCCCGGCCCCTGGGGCTGACAGCAGCACCGTGTAGTGTTTTCAAGATCAGACGCCGGGGCCAACACTGCGGCCTCCAGGCCTGAGGGTAGTGTTCCCCGGTAGCACCCTTGAGCTTGGCTCCCACCGGGATGGTGGCTACGCCGACTGCCCCAGGCTGGGGCCGGGATGCCGGGCTCTGCCCATGACCCGTCTGAATCCGTGACCCTGGGCCTCTGTTTCCGCATCTGTAAAACAGGGTGCGTGAGTGGCATTTTTATTCCCTCCCACGTCACCGAGTGCCTGTCCTGGACCCAAGCAAGGACCAAGCACGGGCTAGAGGATGGTGATGGTGACAGCGTGGTTCCTGGTTGGGTCTGGGGCTTTCTTCCCAGGCGGCTCCTGATTCCACAGTAAGAAGCACAGGGGACTGTCTGCATGGGTTTTTCTAGTCCTTTTTCAAAAAGGAAAAACAAACCCTGCATGAGGAACAGATGAGGAACAGAGCATGGAGCCAGCGGTACCAGATGTGACCCGGGGAGAGGACAGTCCCACCCCCAGCCGCCTTTCCCACAGCCTCTGCGCCGACTTGTGCAGCTCTGAGCATTCCCCACTCTCGGGCCTCAGTTTCCTGTTCTGTGCAATGGGGAGGTTGGGCGGATGAGTCTCAGACTCCAGACCAAGCTCATTGGAGAGAAGAAATGAGAGCAAGCTGGATAGGAAGGGTACGGAAGAGCCCACGCTAGCCTGCAAGGGAGGGAAAAGGGGGAAACTGAGGCAGCAAAGGAGGACAGGGCCTGCAGCTGCCTGGGAGAGAGGGGAGCATGGGTGCTCAGCCCTGTCTGGGTAAAATGGGGTCGCTTCTTGTCCCCCCACCCCAGCAGTCAGCAGCCCCTGCAGCGGCAGAGACAGAGGGAGGGACCTGAGTCTCAGCTCCACAGGGCTGAGCTGTGGGCCACGGACACTTTTGGAGCCTTCGCTTCCTCTCCTGGGAAATGAGAATAAAATACCCAAACCTCTGCAGCTGGCAGGCACAAGGCTGGGATTTGCATCTGTGGCTTCCAAGACGGGTGTGAAACAGCAGCAGCCAGCAGCCAGCGTGGGGCCTGGTTGGAGATGGGGCCTGGCAGCCACTGGGGTTCAGGAGCAGTGGGGACCATGGGGGCCGCAGGAGAGTGTGGGGGTGGGGGCAGGGCTTGTCAACAGCAGGAAGCAGAATGGCGCAGGGCTGGGCCACAGCCCCAGGGTGGAGGGGCGGGGACCACCTCTTAATCAGACCCTGTGGGAGCTGCCGCAGCCCGGCCTCCCAGCGCTGGATTCAACACAGACTCCCGTGGCTCTTCCGGTCACAAGGTCTTCATTTTCCAGGGGCTGAGAGTCATTATCAGAAGATGTGACAAACAGTCCTCTTGGAAACATCTCAGACACATCCTCCCAGGCACGGGCCTCCCTTGCCTGGGCAACAGCCAGGGCAGCGGGCCACATGGCACCGGCCGTGGCTGCAGAGCCCTGACCACGCCGTGCAGTCACCGCACTGCCGTGTCTCCCACCAGGCTGAGGGAGCCTGGAGGACACGGATGTGTTTCACTGGCGTCCTCCATGCCCAGATGCGTGCCTGGGAGTGGGAGGACACATGCTCGCTGAAGGTGTGCTCATCGGCTGGGTCGGCTTTATTCTCCGCCACCCCTGACACCGCCCACCTTCTGGCTGCCAAAGCTGGACGCACGTGCAGCGGCGGCCATGGGTCACCTGCTGATACAGCAGGTTGCAGAGAAGGCAGCCCTGCGCTGGGGTTGAGCAGCCAGAGTCCTTGGACCTCGGCTCCCTTTGCGACCGCGAATCAGCCCCCCTCTCCTCTGCCCCGCCGTGCACCCCGGTTGGCCTGGGTCTCCCGGCTTCCCTAGGCTTTGTACTGCTGGTTAAACCTCTGCCGGCGGACGCAGCAGCAGGTGGCCAGCGTGGTGAGGACGATGGCCAAGAGCAGCGTGAAGGTGAGGATGATGATGAGGTTGACGTTCTTGAGCCCTCCCTTCTCGCAGTCCTCGGGCCGCACGTGGCTCAGGGACACCTCCTCCTGGGAGCCAAAGCGGCAGATCAGGCCCTGTGTGGCGTCCACATCCACGCGGCCCTGGTGCAGCTGGGCGGCGAGCCAGCCGTTGCCGCAGCAGCTGAGCGGGTTGCCCTGCAGGTAGAGGCGCCGGAGGCTGGGCTCCAGGCCGCCCATGGCGCTGCCGGGCAGCAGGCTGAAGCTGTTGTTGCGCAGGTCCAGCACCTCCAGCGACACGGCCTGCGTCCAGGCGGGCAGGTGGCTGAGGCGGTTCCCGGCCAGGTTGAGCCGCTTGAGGCAGCTGAAACAGGGCAGGTCCACCTGCAGGACGGCCAGCCCGTTGCCCTGCAGCGCCAGGACCTCCAGGGAGGCCTCCAGGCCCGCCAGGGCCCCCGTGGCCACCTCCAGCCCCGGGTTGGCAGACAGGTCGAGCTCCGTCAGCGGGGTGCGGAGGAAGGCCCCTGCCCTGAGCGTCCCCATCTCGTTGTCCACCAGATTGAGGACTCGGAGGGAGGAGATGCCGGAGAAGGCCACGCAGCCCGGGGGCGCGGGCTCGGCCGGGCCCCCACAGGGGCTCACGCGGTTCCCCTGCAGGTTGAGCCTCTGCAGGCTGGCCAGGCCGGCAAAGGTGTACGGGGGCAGGCTCCGCAGGGCGTTGTCCTGTAGCAGCAGCGTCCGCAGGGAGCCCAGGGCTCTGGCGCCCAGCTCCAGGGCCTCCAGCGCGTTGTGACTGAGATCCAGGAGCACCAGGAGGGGCAGGGAGCCCGCGTGCCCGGCCTCGAAGGCCCGCAGGCAGTTGCGGCTGAGGTTCAGGAAGCGCAGGGAGGCCAGGTGCTCCAGAAAGCCGCCGGGCACCAGCTCGATCTCGTTGTAGCTCAGATCCAAGTTCAAGAGCTGGGAGAGGGGCTGGCTGCTGGTGTTCCAGCCGGGGCTCCCCCCGGGGGGCCAGGCCGGCCAGCCTTGGGAGGGCACGGGGCTGGCCTCGCCACCCTGGGGCGGCCCCGCAGGGAGCCGGATGAGGTTGTTGGACATGTTCAGGTACAGGAGTTTCGGGAGCGCGGCTAGGTCGGGGAGCTGGAGCAGGCGGTTCTCGCGCAGGTCCAGCCAGGTGAGCTGGTACTCTGCGGGGGGCTCCGGGGCCGTCTGGAAGGCCTCGATGCTGTTGCAGCTCAGGTCGAGCACCTGCAGCTGCGGCAGGCTGAAGTCGGAGATGCAGGTGAGGGAGTTCCTGGAAAGGTTGAGATGGGCCAGGCGGGGCAGGGCCTCGAAAGCGCCGTCCTCGATGTCCATCAGCACGTTGCTGTGCAGGTCCAGGCGCTCCAGTGCGGGCAGGCCCCGGAAGGTGCGGCGGCCCAGGCGCGTGAGGCTGTTCTCAGCCAGCGAGAGGCTGTGCAGGTGGGGCGCCTCGCCCAGCAGCTGCTCCAGCAGGCCGCTGTACAGGCTATTCCCCGACAGGTCCAGGGAGGTCACGTGCGGCAGGGGGCTCAGGCTGCCAGCGCTCAGCGCGGTGCCCGCCGCCAGGCGGTTATGAGCCAGGTTGAGGTGCTGCAGCTGGGGCAGGGCCTGGAAGACTCCTGGCTGCAGAAAGCTGATCTCGTTGGCGCTTAGGTCCAGGTGACGCAGCGACGTATAGAAGTCCAGGGGCGAGGCCAGGACACTCTGCAGCTGGTTCCCAGACAGGTCGAGGGTCTCGATGTCGGCCAGGAGCATGGCGGGGACCTGCAGCAGGCCCAGGCCCTGGCACAAGGCCTCTTTGCCCACCTGGGGAGGGAGAGCAGCCGGCATTAACAGGTGCGGTAGGGATGCACCCTTTTCCAGGGAGACATTCTGCCCCTCCCAGGCTCTGGCCTTTCCCCTGGCACCGTGCAGGGCACAGGGAAGGCTTGATGAGTTTTGGGTGGAGCGATGACAGCAGGCATAGGGAAAATGAGCTAACAGACAGCGACCCCGATTATTAGCCCAGGTTCCAGGACACGGAGCCACACAGCACCCAGAGTGACACGGAGTCAGGGAGCAGCCACGCCAAGCCGGGCCCCAGGGCTCTGGGTTCCACATGCAGGTCCCCTGTGCAGGTCCATACAGTTACCATGCTCATGTTACACTGGAAAGCATGCTGGGACAATGTCTCCAAAAGGGAAAGCCAGTTTGCTCTCCTGTCATCAGTTCTCATTTTAGTCTCTCTCCATCAGGTCTCATGCAAGCCGTCAGCCCATGAGGCAGGAGCCTGGAGCGAGCTCTGCGGATGCTGCCCCTCCTGTCCAAGGCCTGGCTTCCCACGGCCTGGCCCAGCAGCAGCCCCTGGCGGGGAGGAGGGGGCACAGAGAGGGGGGACGGCCAGGGTCCCAACATGCACGCTTGGGTAACGTGGCAGTAAGCTTGCTGTGTGACCTCCATCAAGTCACGGGACCACTCTGGGTCCCTCGGCAGTGAGTAATTCAGCACCCACTCGGCACTTTACAGCTGACGTTCAGGCCTGGGGTCTCACTGGAGCCGCACGACAGCCAACCCACCACTCAGGGAGGGTCACGGGGGCTCCCGCTGGCGAGGAGTAGACCAGGATTTGAACCCAGGTCTTTAACAACCAAAGACCTCACTCTTGTCTTTCAACAGAGCGTTGACTTCTGGGCCAGAAGCTTTGTGCAGAGGCGGCTGGCTCTCCCTTCCAGCCAGCAACCCTGGCTCTCCCAGCAGAGCCCCTCGCTCAGGCCTGCTCCTGCCCTGTCCCAGCATCTCCCTGCCAGTGCCCACGCATGGCCTAAAGCTCCGCTCTGAGCCTGCAGCACCTCCCAAGGCCCCCAGGGCAGTGACCAGGATGCTCGGCAGGCATTTATGGCTCTCTGTGGCCTCTGCTAAGCTGTCCCCTCCCCTCCTGCCTCACTCTACACACGGTGACCATGGCCGACCACTGCCACCTCTGGGCCTCTCCCGACCCATGCTGCTTACACCACACCTACCTGATGTTGGGGGAGACTCTTCACCCTGAGCCCTGGGGTCTCCTCTACCAGGGAGCCCTACCTGACTGCTTCCTCTCCATTGGCTTTGTCCCAGTGAAGTGTGGCCGTGTAGGGGGACCTGCTGGACACTGAGACCACCCTGAACAGAACCGGCTTGGTTGGTGTGGCTGCCTGGGACCTGGCCCACAGGAGGCGGTCAGTAATTCTTTTAATGAATGAGGAAAGGCCTGCGACACTGAGCCAACCACCTGGCTGACAGGAAAGAAAAGCTGACCCACTATGTTCAGCCTGGAGACTAAGACTATCAGGGCAAGGAGTCTGGCTGCCCACTTTCAGGATGGGGAGACTGAGGCCCGAAGAGGCAGTGACGCAAGTGAGGTCACAGTGAGCCCGTGGCTGAGCCGGCAGGGAAGGAGCCCAAGCCGGTTGCTCCTCACCTGGCCCAGTTCTGTCCTGTGAGGATGAGGACGGAGCTGCCTGGCTGAGCTTCTGTGTGACTCCACCCAGCGTGGTGATGGGCCCTACCCTCTCCCGGGGAGGCCCCTGCTGCTGGGTGCCCACCCGGCCACTGTGCCTGCCCTTGCCCCTCCCTTCCTTGTCACTGCCTTGCTGGAGCCTCCTCATCGCTACACCCAGCCCCCCCACCCGGGGCCCCCCTGGCTTGGAGAAGAGACAACACAAAGGAGGCAGCGGCCGCTCCTGTCGCCAGACACCAGCTCTGAGCCCAGTGCACGGGTCCCAACATCCCACTGTCACCACGCGCCCTAGGAAACTGAGGCTGGAGGTGGGCTGAGGCTGCCGGAGTCAAAGGGCCCAGGGCTCGGAACTCCTCTCCCCACCCAGCAAGGCGAGTCCTGCCTTCTGGGCCCTCGGCTGCTCAGCACCCAGGCTGATGCCTTCTGCCCAGCAAACACCCCCAGACACTGCCGGCAGAGCGGTCACAGGGCAGGGTGCCCCACATGTACACCCACACCCCGCTTCACCTCGGGACCGGCACAGGAGCCCTGGGGCGCAGCTCCTGAGCTGGTCCAGCCCAGGGCCCGAGGCTTGCTGGCTCTGACTGCCACGTGCGTTCTCTGCCATGCCCTCCCATCCACTGTCTCGCCTCCCGGACACCATGGTGCACCCAGCCTTCCCCACTCTGTGTCTGAGTCTCCCCGAGGCGGAGGGCGCACCTGTATTTGGTGACACCTGGGGCCTCCTCTGCCCATTCCTCTAGGGTCTGAGAATCCCCGAGGGCCTCTGAGGAGCAGGAAGGGTGATGGCCACAGGGGGACAGTGCAACCTCAAAGCCGTCGGCCACTCTGTGCCCAGGGCCTGTCCTCCCCCCAGCCCAGGCTTCAGCCTTGACCTCCGTGACTGCCCAGCCTGACTCTTGGACCTGGGGAGCCTCTCCCCTATACCACAGCCTCACAGCAACTTTACGACCAGTCTCCTTGGCTCAGGGCAGGAACAAGGAACAGAAGTGAATCAAATCTGGTCCCCGCCCTACAGAAGTTCTGGCAGGTGAGACAGGAGGGAACCCGTCACCGACACCCCATGTGCACAGTGGGCTCAGTGTGGACATGGAGGGAAGCCAAGGGACTGTAGGAGCCCAGAAGAGGGCGCCACCTCTGGGAAGGGCCAGGGAGGCTTCCTGGAGGAGGCAGCATTTGACCTAGGTAGTAATGGGCAAGAAGCATCCCAGCTAGGGAACCCAGGGGATTTGTCCCAGGAGGAACCAGTCCAGAGGAGCCCCTCCCAGCTGGCACACCTCACATTTCCCCGACATTGACACATCTTAGATCCCCCGGTGGGGCCAACTGCCCTACAGAGACAGCGTCAGGGTCCTACTGTTCCGAGCTGAGTGACCCTGGACAAGCCACCTACCCTCTCTAAGCTGCAGTTTCCTCCTCCAGGACGGAAAGGTATTTAAACATTCCACGAGGTGCTCACTCAAGGCAGGGGACATGTCCCCTCCTCCTCTGACTCATCCCAGCTCCGGCCTCTGGGGCTGCTGCAGGAGGACAGCGAGGCCAGGGGCCCCGGGAGGCCTCTTCCCCGCCCCGGCCAGAGCAGAGCATCTTACCATCTTACAGGGCACCTTGAGTCGGTGCTGGGAGGTGGCCAGGGCTGGGCTCAGCACGGTCAGCAGCAGCAGCATCTGGGGGCTCATGGCTCTGTGCAGGACAGGAAGGAAGGGGACACGGTCAGTCCACTGGCTCCCTCCCATGGCCCCCCCCGCCACTCCACCCTTTCCGTACCTGCCCCTGGGAATGCTGGACTGGAGTAAGGGTGCTAGGAGAGGGGCAGGGGGCAATGGCCCCTCTCGAAGGGCTTCCAACCCTGGGTCTGGGCGCGCAGCCACATTCAGGGACAGCAAGTCTTACAGTGGAGCATGGCTTGGCCACATGTGGGTTTTTAAGAGACAACATCTGGTGGAAGACAGCCTGGAAGTGGTGTCCAGGAGGCAGAGGGACCCTGTGGGCTGCACTGGGCCACTCTCAGGGTGGGGTCGGCTGGAAGTGGGGAGGCGGGCTCTGACTCCACTTCCTCCCTGGCCATAAGCAGTTCCCCCGTGCCAGCCCCTCAGGCCCCTCTCTGCCCCTGCCTCCCTCCCCACTCTGTTTTGCCCATTTCTTTTGATTCTCCGATTCTCCTCCGGGGCCTTTGCCATTGTTCAAGGGGAGGGCCACGGCCTTGACCGGAAGCCAGCCAGGAGGCCAGCCCTGCCCCAGCCCCGCTCCTGCTGGCTTCCCCAGGAGCAGCCGGGGCCCTGCACTTTCACTGAGGCCACCGGCTGTGCAGGGGTCACGCAGGGCTGCTGGGACGGCCCTTTGTTGCTGACAGCCAGGGCTGGCATGGAAGGGGAGGCAGAGGCCCCCGCGGGGTGAATCCCAGGGCTACTGGGGCCCCCTCGCCCCCTCACTGAAGCCCTGAGCGAGCGCCAGGGCTACACCAACCAGCTGATGCATTTCTTTCAGGCGTTCACGCATTCAATCGGCCTTCCCTGCCTGCCTCATCTCTGGCTCCGTGCTAGGATTGAGGACACACAAGACTGCACAGAGGTGACCAGAACCTGTACAGAGCGGGTTACCAAGGCGGACCCCCAAAGTCCTCCTAGAGGGAGCACGGGGCTCAGGGTCCCACGGACGGCTCTCCCCTCTACTGACTTGCCCTGTGTCCCTGTACAAGTGACTTCGCCACACCGAACCCAGCGCCAGCCATAGCAGGCCGTGTTGAGGACCAAATGAGATGGCGTCCTTACGCACTGGGCGCCGCTCTCCTCGCTCTCACAACAGCTCTGTGGCCAGTTCCACAATCACCACTTTGTTCTCGGAAGGGGAAACTGAGGTTCAGAGAGCCCAAGCCACCCAAGAGGTGCCCAAGGTCACCCGGCTAGCCAGTGGTAGGCCACACCAGTGTGGCCCCTGGCTCTGCGCCCTTAACCTTGGCACTCTCAAGCCTCTCCCAGCAGGTGCTCTGTGAACTAGCGCTGAGTTGGGATTCCGTGAGCCGCGTCAGGAGACAGGACATTGGCAGGGCCTTTGAGGGCTGCGACTTGGACCGCTGAACCCTCTAGTGGCAATGAACATGGCTGCTCTGGGGCTCTTTCCTGCTGGAACGTGGAAGGGACATTGCTGAGTCTTTCCAGCCGCAGCCACATCCCCGGGGCCCCTGCCACCACCATGGTGCTCCTCTTGCCTGCAGGGGGACTGCTCTGTCCAAGGTAGAGGTTCCTGGACCTGGCCAGCCCTGCTCCCCAGCCTCCTCTCTCACCATCCCCTCTCCCTCTGTTTTGAGGTCACCTCCTTCCAGAAGCCTCTTTGGTTTCCCAAGTCTGGGCCATGGCCCGGAGCTTTCCACACCTCTGAGCTTCCGGTGGGCACAGCACCATGCACTGCAGGGCTCGCCCCACTCCCCCGGAACACACCCAGGCAGAGGCATGCTGTCCTCTGAGAGACCCCTCTCACAGCACAGGCCAGCCGAGGGAGGACAGTGTGGGTGACATGGTGACAGCAGCCCTCCACGACCTTCCCTCCCCTCCCCTCCCTGCCACACACCTGCTTCCATCCGTGGGTGTGACCCTGGGTCTGCCCAGCTCCCTCCTCCATCCCTGGCCCCGGGACTTGAGGGTGGCAGGAGCAGCCCCAGTCACTTCTTCCCCATTTCCACCTGACCCCTTATTCAAAGCAGCCAAGGGGATATTTGAAAGTCACTTAAATGATTCTGCTGTTGGGAGACCTCCAGTCGGGGCCAGGTTTCACCCAGTCTCCTCTCTGGCTCCATCTACCATTTCCCTTCCCCACCAAACGCCAGACTCGGCCAAGGTCACTGCTGCCTCCGCACCTTGCCCTGCCATTCCCCTCGCCAGCAGTGCCAGTCCCCCTCCCCTCGCAGCCGTCACTTCCTAAGCACTTATTCAGATGGGAAGGGGACAGGGGCTCACCCAAGATTCAGTCAACAGGTAGCCGAGCCGGGCTGGGCTCCACGGCGGCCGACTGAGTGGTGAGTGCGAGGGAAGGACAAGGTCGGGTTCAGCTCCGAGCCTGGAGAGCCCTGTCTCCTCCTTCCCGAGGCGGGCACCTGCACACCCAGAAGGGCCTCGCAGCACACGGGGACTCCACTCTGGGGAGTGCCCGAGGACACAGGTCACTTGAACCCAGGCTAACCGGGAAGCTCCACCACTCTGCCCCGCTGGCCGCCCCAGCCACAGTGACGGCAGACGGAGAGTGGCCAGGAAGGTGTCCAGGCGGGACGATGAGCTACAGGGCTGAGCATCCCAGGTGAGGCATGCAGAGGAGGGAGGCCCCGGGGAAGAAAGGGCAGCTCACTGCTGACTCAGAAAAGAGCCAGAGGATATGAGAGAGAGAGAGAGAGAGAGAACACTGGCAATGCCCGCAGTCACAAGCCCACCCTACTACATAAGGATGTCACTCTGCTAAGCACCAGAGTTCTATCATCTCATTTAACTTTCACAACCACCCAAGGAGGTGACTGCTGTGCGTCCCACTTCACAGATGAGAAGAGGGAGGCTCAGGAAGCTGGGGGAACTGGCCCCCAGGGCTTCCAGCTCCCAGTGGTTTCACCCAGGTATGCAGGACCCCAAGGCTGTGCTTTCTCCAGCCCCCTAGAGAACTGTGCCCATTCTGCCCCGGAGACATGACTTACCCAAAGTCACCCAGGCAGCCAGCGGGTGATCAGGATCAGAACCCCGGGCCAGGCAGGCCCTGCGCTCCCGCTCTGACCCCGGCCAAGGCCCCCCACACAGACGCACAGCCACCGCCTACTCACAGAGCCGGTCTGGGCTTCTCCCCTGCCCCGGGTCAGACTGAGTGGCTGAGGAGGGTCCCCGGAGGGCCGCAGTGAATCAGCGAGGCCAGCCCTCTCTGGAGACGTGTGCGTCCCACGGGGATCAGACCTTAACCCAGAGGAATGCGGCCGCCACGGCAGAATTCCAGGCGGCCCGGGGCGGGGTGGGGGTCCCTCCCTCCCCCGCTCCCACTCCACCCCCCTCCCCGCACCTCAGCGGCTGCGGACTGACGCGCGAGCGCGCCCAGGGGCGCTGGGACGAGCCCCGGAGGCGGGCAGTAGAGACTGCAGGAGACCTGGATTCAAATGCCAGCGGGGTGTTCCTGAGCCTCCTACCTCGGCTTGCCCAGCTGTCAAATGGGCACGCCGACCTCAGCCCCGGGCGGGAAAGACCCGCCGCGACAGCCGCCCCGAGGCGTCCTGGGGACCGAAGGAAGGTCAAGTCCGGCTCGGCGCGCGCCTCAGGGGCGACCGGAGGGCGAGGGCCCTGGCCCCGGCCCCCGCCGGCGAGCGGCGCGGGACAGCGCTCCGTGGGGCCCCCGGCGGCTCCTACCTGGTTCAGCGCGGCCGGCGCTCCGCTCGCGGGTCGCCCCGGCGCATCGTGCGTACACCTGCCCCGGTCCTGCCCGGCCCGGCGCCAGGCCCCGGGTCCCGGCCCGAGGAGGCGCTCGGCAGCTCCGCTGCCCCAAGGGAGCCGACCCGCGAGGGGGCGGCCCCGGCGCCCATTTAAAGCCCGCTCGCGCCGGCCCGCCCCCGCCCCCTCGGCGGCGCCGCGCGGTCCTAGCGCCCTGCGGCCGCCCGAGACCCGCGAGCCCCCGCGGCGTCGGCGTCGGGAGGCCGGGGCATCTGCTCCGAGTTGGAAGCCCGCGGGGAAGACGAGGCGAGCGCCAGCGGGGAGCAGGGTCGCCAGCACGCGCCGAGGGGGCGAGGCGAGACCGGCGTCGGCAACCGCACGTGCGGTCCCCAGCCCCGAGGGCTTGGGGGCTTGCTTGGTGGCTCTGGGAGCCGCAGGTCCGCGAAGGAAATCCGGCCTGGCCGCGATCTTCCAGCTGTCGGCGGCGCCGATGCTCTTCGCCCGGGGCGAGCGGGAAGGCCGGCGGGGGGGACGCGGAAGGAAGTGACCCGCACTGCGGCGCGGCCTGGCGGCCACTCTACCACCTAAACGAGCTATAGCGCCCGCGACCGTCCTCCTCTATCAGCTCTTGGGCCGTCGACTTCCGCAGCTTTGCGGCTTGAAAGCCAAGTGCGTGAGACCGCGGGGACCTGCTTTGCAGCTGCAGAAACTGAGCCTTAACAAGGCTAAACGGCAACCCCACCGTCGCGCAGCTTTTTGGCATTGGCACTCGGGCGCCCGCTGTCCAGTTGGGGCACCATCGCGCCTGGTGGCTTAGCTGCTGTCCAGCTGCTGCGCCATGGCCTTGGCGCCAAAGATCGTGGGCGTCTGGCCCTTGCCACATCCCTGTGCTCTGCTCTGCTAGGTGGCCGTTCCTCCAGGCCCTGGTCCAAGCAGAGAAGACTCCTCTTCCACAGTGCGTCTCTTCCCTGCCGGCCACCAGCCCCGAGAGTGGGGCCTTGGGGCCAACTGGGCTGAAGCTGGGCGATGTGGACACCGGCTTCCCTGGAGCCTACACAGCTGTCACTTTTTTTTTTTTTTTTGACAGAGTGGACAGTGAGAGAGAGACAGAGAGAGAAACGTCTTCCTTTGCCGTTGGTTCACCCTCCAATGGCCGCCGCGGCCGGCGCACCGCGCTGATCTGATGGCAGGAGCCAGGTACTTATCCTGGTCTCCCATGTGGGTGCAGGGACCAAGGACTTGGGCCATTCTCCACTGCACTTCCTGGCCACAGCAGGGAGCTGGACTGGAAGAGGAGCAACCGGGACAGAATCCAGTGCCCGGACTGGGACTAGAACCCTGGGTGCCAGCGCCACAGGTGGAGGATTAGCCTATTGAGCCACGGTGCTGGCCTGTCACCTCTTCTTGCTCCTGTCCAGTCCTCAGGGGTAGACCTGTGTAGATGGGACTCGTGTCAACCCAAGAGAGGCCAGCGAGTAGCTCCGGGGGCTGAGTTGGCTTCAGAAGAGACCTGGGATGGCTCCCTAACCTGGGCCTGGGCTGCATGTGGGGGGAGCGTGGGAGGTGCTGTGGGGACCCCTACAAGGCCAAGGAGGAGGCTCCAGCCCTCCCCCACCCCACGCCAGCCAGTGAGGCTGCAGATCTGTGCTCGTAGGAGTCTGGGCTGGCCCTCTCTGGTCTAGTGGAACATCAGTGTCCCTGACCATCAAGTGGCAAAAACGTAGCTACATCTTGGGGTTGGTACCAGAGCTAGGGGAAGGGATCCAGGCTGGGGCCCGCAGCCAGTGGGTGCTGGGTGACTCTGGCTGTTTATTGCGCTGTGATTGGCGGATATTTCTGCTACACCCTGCAGGCTTCCTGCCAGGTCCTTGTCCTGGGAAGGGCTTCACAGCCCTGCAGCGGTGGGATCAGAGCAGGGTCCAGGTCATCACTGGACCCGCTCTCCCCCCCTCCCCCGCCCCCAGCTGGCGCCCTGCCTCCAGGCCCAGGCCACTGAGCATCGCCTCACCCTCCCTTCCCATTCCTGGAGCCGCCTTGAAGCAGAAACTCCTGGGCTGACCCAGAGCTTGGGCCAGGGCTGGGGCCACAGTGGGCTGGGGTGGGCAGCCTGCCTCCCACACACCTCAGAGCCTGTGGTTGTGGTTAGTTCATGGGGTTCCACCTTCCGCAGTGCTCAGATGGGGCGCCACATGAGTTGGGGATGGACGGGCAACCAGGCGAGCCCACCTGCCACCCAAGCCCCTCGGGACCTGTGGCTGGAAGCCGGGAACTCCTCAGCACCCCGCTTTGGTGACCTCTTCAGCAGTCACGTCGCCGTGTGTCTCCATCTCGCTTCGTCTTTCTGACCTCAGTTTGTTGATCTGGACAGGAAGTCTAATAACAGCACCGATGTCGTGGGTTTGTCTTGAAGATGGGACCTGACTCTGTGTATGAGGGGCGGGAGGGCAGACCTGGGCAGAGGGCCTGGCCCATGGGATTTGCTCAGTAAACATGACACCACCCCCCTCTCTGGTGGGCCCCAGGTAGCTGGCAAATAAAATCATCCAGCACTTCTGGTCGGGCTTCCAGTCCAGCTGGGATGACAGTCGGAGGCCTTTTTCTGAATCTGTGGGGGTGGGGGGTTGGGAACTGGCTGGTGGCCGGCAGGGAAGAGACCCACTTTCTTTCCAAGGCCACTGAGGTCAGCTTTCCGTCTGGCAGCTGGGAGCCGGCTTCCTCGCCCTGGTGCTTTGTTCAGAGCTCCTGTGCCTTGTGCACCTGTGTCTTCAGGACCCCAATCGGAGGTAGGAGAATCCTCTCTGGGGCCAGGTTAGGCTCAAGCCTCTCCCGGAGGTCTCACTCAGGCTGGGCTGAAAGCTGAGGGTCATCCCCAGGAGCTAGGGGCCATGAAATCCTGGGTGACCACGCCCAAGTGGCTGCACCCCTGGGAGCCTTGCCATCCTCTTCTAACTGTAGAAGCACCGTGGGTGCCAGGGACCCCCCACTTAGGCTCCGCTGCTCTTTGCTGAGCACCCACTGTGGGCCAGCACTCCCTCCCTCCCTGGGTCAAATCCAAGGACAGAGCCTTTATTCTCAATTACAGACCAGGAAACTGAGGCTCTGAGACGTTACGTAACTGGCCAAGTCACACAGCTTGTAGAGCCAGGCCTCCTGACTCCCAGACTCGTCTCGATGCAAACATGTGGCTGTTCTCACTCTCTGCCTCTGCCGAGCACCCACACTGGCCCCTGGGAGTCAGGGAGTTCCCCCGGCAGCCCCCGCTGGGGCCCTGCCTTCTGGGGCAGAACCCTGGGTTCCCCAGTTCTCCCCCTGCCCACCGTCCCTGGCTCCCTAGGGGGATCTGGGTTCAGATCTCAGCAGCTATGGGCCATCTCCTAGAGAGACAACAGCAGGGACAGCAACTGCAGCTGGTGCCAGCTGTGGGGCGTTGCTGAGTGGGAAGTCAACACAGGGCTTGAGAAGCAAACAGCATAAAGGGTCGGCGGGGTGTCCCTGGTTCCAAGTGGCCGCTCTGTTGAATGGGAATAGTGGGAGCTGGTGGGAACAGGCCTGGCCAGCAGGAGGCCCTGGGGACGCTCTGGCCTGTCCGACGCACAGTGGAGACGGCAGGGTGCTGTAGGCACTCCCAGGGGGTTCCTCAGGCTCCCAAGCCCTGTGTGTGGCCAGAGCCCTGCCCCGTCTGGTTTGCTGTTCTCAGTGGGGGCCAGGGCTGCAGGTGCTGGTGCGCCCCGTGGACCCCGTTCCCCTCCCCCTCCCCAGCTGCCACAGGGGAGGCTCCTGGCTCAGAGTCGGTGCAGGGCTGTGCGGGCTCCCAGGGGCCCCCAGGGAGGGGGGGAGATGTTAAGTGACATAATTCGAGACTGAGTGAGCAAAGGGGGCCGACATTGGAAGCGTCTCCACAGCTTGACTCTGTGCCGAGCCATGGAGCGTGAAACCGCAGCTTTCTGTGTGCCTGGGCTGCTGGGAACCTGAGGCTCTGCCCTTTCAGCCACGCACGGCTCCCTGCACCCCAGTTTAACCATTTGGAGGTCAAAACCGCTGCACCCTTTCCTAGATGAGCTAGGCTTTCATTGTCTGGTCACTGGTCCTGGTGGGTGACACCATGCAGCCCCCTCCCCAAGCTCCACCCCCAACTGCCTTCTGCCCGGGGAACCCTGGGGCTAGCTGATGGAAGCAGGTGCCGGCACAGGTGGTCCAGCCACAAGGGTGCTGGGCAGCCCCCTGAGCAAGCCGTGCCCTGCACAGTCTCGGTTTCCTTGCATGTGGAGGGGAGACGGCAAGGTGCAGGTCTTGCGGAGGTGACTGGGCTGCAGGAAGCAGTGGCCCTCCCCGGGAAAGGCTGCCCCCAGTGGGTCACTGAAGGGAGCCGAGGGCAAAGGGAGCCACAGGGGCGGGGGCCGCAGCCTTGGTCTGGGAGAGCAGCTGAGTCATGGAGCCTCTGGCACTGTTGGCTTGGGCAGGGTGGGGTGGGGGGCTAAGGCAGAGCCGCACCCCTGCTGCAGCTGCCTCTCTGGGGTCCCTGCAGAGCTCTGTTCCCTGGGGCTCCCTTCCCAGCCTCAGGACCCAGGTGCTGGGCTCCCAGTAGATCATCAGCTCGTTAGCCTCCCCGTGGTCAAAGCCGGGTCACAGGCACCCCAGTGGTCCCTACATCTTTGGGCGACTCAGAAACCTCTGCAGCTTCCTCCATTTCCACTCCAAGATGGATGGTAGACTCCAGGCCCAGAGAGGGCAAGGCCGTGGCCCGCGGCGATGCAGCAAGCTAAGGCCCTGCCAGTCCCCCTCGCCCACCCTCCTTGCACAAGGCCAGGGCACTCTGGTCCACAGCCACCTCTCAGAGTCCTGCCCGGTTTTCCGCAAACTGCGGCAAGTGGCGGTTCCCTGAGGACCCTTTCAGATAGACGGCTGGACCCCTGCCCTGGGGAGAGCCGGTCCCGTCACTTGGAGGTGGGGCCTGGGCTCTGCGTCCCTGTCAGCCCCCCATGGGGCTGGCGCTGCCTGTCCAGGGACACTCTGAGGAGCGCAGGGACTGTGTGAGAGCCAGAGCAAGCCCCGCCCCTGCCCCACTCCAACAGGGGAGTGCAAGTCACCCACAACCGACCCCGACAGAGCTAAGCGCAGCCCTCCCTCCCCGGCCAGCAGGACGGAAGGAATGAGATGGCAAAGGTCGGGTTAGCCGGTGATGAATCTTACTGTAAGCGCAGGCTGGGAAGGGGATGGGCAGGGCCAGACAGCTTTCCAAGGCAGCTTTCCTGTTGCAACTGTTTAACCTACACCATGCAGCCATGCAAGAGGAGCCAGATCCTGTTACTACTGCTGCTACTGTTGTTATTGCCATTCGCAGACCACCCCTGAGGAAATCCAGAGAGGTTAAGTCACTACCTTAAGGTCACACAGCTGGTGCAGATGAATCCGGGCAGTGGGGCTCCAGCACCTCCCCTGTTAATACTTTTGTTGCTTTGTCACTTGCCACAGCATGAATTAGCCAAAAGAGCAATTACAGTCATGCGTGGTTTAACTCCGAGAACTGTCGCTGGCTGTGTTGTCAATGTCAAGTGTCACAGTGTGCAAACTAAGACGGCTGTGGCATGGCGGGGTGATGTGCTCTTCCCGCATCGCTGTCGTCGGCGAGGCCCATCGTCAGCTGAAGAGTCAGCACCTGGCATGAGCCTGCCATCCGTTAGCTCAGCACGGAGGGTCGTATTCTCC